TTATTGTAGAGATGAGGTCTCGCTGCCCAGGAGTGTCTCGAACCCACGGGCTCAGGCAATCCACTCACCTCAGCCTCCCAAAGGTGCGGGATTAAAGGCTGAGCCACCGAGCCTGGCTCAAGATAGTTTATTTTTAAAATGGTGTTGGCATAACTAGAACAAAGCTAGATTACTGCCTCTTACTCTATATAAACATATACTTCAAAGGGATTAAGAGTTCTAGATTAAGTTTGTTAAAACAACAAAAGTATTAGAAGAACATTTAGAAACATATTTATATAACATTGAGGTCTGGAAATGATTCATAGATAAGGCTACACTGTTAGAAATCCATAAACTCTGAGGAGGAAAAAATAGAAAACAGACATATTTTACAAAATAATCAAATGATTAATTAGGAGAAATACTTGTAGCACATATGGGAATCCTTAATATGTAAGTATATAAAGAGCTCCTACAACTTGTTGAGATAAAGATAAACAACTCATAAGAAAAATAGGTGAGGCCAGGCACGGTGGCTCACACCTATAATCCCAGCACTTTGGGAAGCCGAGGTGAGAGGATTGCCTGAGTCCACAGGTTGGAGACCAGCCTGGACAACTTAGTGAGACCTCAACTCTACAATAAATCAAAACATTGGCCTGGCGTGGTGGCGTGTGCCTGTAGCTTCAGCAACTTAGTAGAAGGCTGAGGAGGAAGGATTGCCTGAGTCCAGCAGGTCAAGACTGCAGTGGCTGTGAGTGTGCCACTGTACTCCAGCCTGGGTGACAGAGTGAGACTCCAACTCAAAAAAAAAAAGAAAGAAAAATAGATGAAGGAGGCCAGGTGTGGTGGTGCATGCCTGTAATCCCAGCACTTTGGGAGGCCGAGGTGAGAAGACTGTTTGAGCCCAGAAGTTTGAGACCAATCTAGGCAATACAGCAAGATCTTGTCTCTACAAAAAAAATTTAAAAATTAGTCAGGTATGGTGGTTTACACCTAATAGTCCCAGCTACTTAAGAGGCAGAGGCTGAAGGATCACTTGAGCCCAGAAGGTCAAGGCCGTGAGCCGTGATCATGCCACCGCATCTGAGCCTGAAGGGCAGAGTGAAAGTCTGATTCAAAAAAAGAAAAATAGTGCCGGGCTCGGTGGCTCAGCCTGTAATCCCGCGCCTTTGGGAGGCTGAGGTGAGTGGATTGCCTGAGCCCACGGGTTCGAGACCCGCCTGGGCAGCGAGACCTCATCTCTACAATAAATCAAAAAATCAGCCGGGCGTGGTAGCGCGCGCCTGTAATTCCGGCTACTCGGAAGGCTGAGGCGGAAGGATCGCCGGAGCCCAGCAGGTCGAGACTGTGGTGGCCGGAAGCGGCCACTGCACTCCAGTGTGGGTGACTGAGTGAGACTCCAACTCAAAAAAAAAAAAAGAAAAATAGGTGAAGGAAATTCAAGACGAGGAAAATGAAAAGGCCAATTATTCTCACTAATAGCAAAGAGTAAACTAGGAGATTCCATTTTCCCCATCAGCTTGGCCACAAAGTAAAACAATAGAGAGGAAGAATGGAAGGGAGGGAGAGAAGACAGGAGGGAAGGAAGGGCAAAGGTAGAAGGGAAGAAGGGAGAGAATACCCAACACTGGTCAAGATTTGGGGAAATGGAAGCTCTCATGTATTGCTGGGGAGAATATCAATTATTACAACCTTTGTAAAGTAAGATGGTATTATCTCTTAAAATGTTAAATACAAGTGCCCTTTGACCCAGTAATTTTATTTTTAAAAAGATAACTTACAGAAATAAAAGCACCAGTGGGGAAGTATATGTATACAGATATTTGACCCTTTGCACTCAGAGATATCTCATGGGTCACCAACCAGCAACTCAATTGCACTTTTTTACAAAATAGTAAAACATGAATCATTTCATATCAAATAGTACAGAGTTGGAAACAATGATCTTATTGTAATGATATTTGATTTATAATGAAATTTTGTACATTGAGAAACTTATTTACAACAAAAAAATCAAAATGTTGTATCTTATATTTTTCTAATGTGTGGTTACATGTGAAACAGTCATCGACATGCATTGCATGCTCATTGATACATGTCAAGCAATAGTAATTCACTTGACGTCTTCCACCTGGTGTTTTTCTATTTGAACAGACCGTGCAGTCTTGTTTTCTTCCTCTCACATTAAAATAGAGAGAGTTAGATCTATACCAACTCATGATATGTGTTATTTAGTAGGAAAAATAAAATGCAGAGTAATAAAGTATGATACCACTTCTGGAAAAACAACTGCATATACACTCAGAGTCTATATCAATTTAAAAGGGACCTTGGAGAATGGTATGGAAAGATATACACCAAACTGATAACACTGGTTATCTCAGAAGGACAGAAATGGAGAGTAAGGGAGGACAAAAAGTATAACTGTTTCTTTGCACATCCTCAAATTGTCTACTTAGGGACAAGGAATATGACTATTACTTAAGATTAATAAAGAAAGATTAATAAAGACAAACAGTAACAAAGAAACATAAACATATTACATCAGAGAAAGAATACTGATACACTGTTACATACTACCCATTTATCTTTATAGAAGATAGCAAGCAGCATTTATTGTCACTTTTTATTTTATTTTATTTTTTGGGGGTGGAGTCTCACTCTGTCACCCAGACTGGAGTGCAGTGGCCGCTCCCGGACACCGCAGCCTCGACCTGCTGGGCTCTGGCGATCCTTCCGCCTCAGCCTTTATTGTCACTTTTTAAAAATCAAAATAGAACAGGTCTCCCAACCCATTGTTTTGATAATTAGAAGCCAAAAGCAAAACAAAAATAAAAAAACTTCATGGGAGAAAGAGTACACTATTTCTTAAGCATTTATAACTTTTAAAAGGGGGAAATCTTTACTTTAAAAAAAAAAGAACTCTCCCTTGGAAGTCCTAAAGAAAGCCTAAAGCTTCACTTGAAACTGTCCTTTTTTAGGTGGTGTGTGGGCTGGTTCTGCACTGTCGACTGTTTCAGGCGTGATGCCCTTGATTCCCTGCTTCCTCCGAGCTGAATTTCATCAGCTCGGGGAGCGCAGACCCCTAAGCAACAGCATCTCTGCTCACAGGGCTCTCCTGCTCCCCAAGCAGATGCTGGGGCCTCAGATCTCATGGGGCCTGGAATCCAGGAAGTGAACAGGGGATGTTTTGATGGAAGGAAAAAAAGATAGGAAATGATGAAATACGAGAGAAAGTATTGGAACAGCATTAGTAACAGGTTCTTGAAGGATGGTGACCTGTGCTGATTCTGCCACTTGAGTCGCCTGGAAGGTACACCCCACTCTCCCTGGGTAGAATGCTTCGTTTTATTTTACTTTGCTGATAACAAATGTTTCATTGAAATAATGATGACATCTCACCTTTCCACAGGACTTCATACTTTACAAAGCATATTTGACAGCAGCCTCCTCACTCCGCCTCTCCTTGGTCTTCCAGTCCATCCTCCACACAGCAGCCACCAGTGCGAAGGCCTTGCCTTTTTCTCTCAGGCTCCCCTTCCCCCACCTTCACATGCAGTTTCTCCGACACTGAGAGCTTTCCTGCCTAGGGCCTTTCCCCGAGTACCTCTCCCACCTGGAGTGTTCCTTCCCAGACAGCACCCCTCTTTTCTCCCCTCCCTTCTGAGCTCTTGGCATAACTGACTCCTCATCTCGGTTTAAAGCCTTCAACCACACTCCCCCATCCACCTCCTTCCCTTGCCCCGTGCCTGGCAGATATTAAGTGCTCAATAAGTACTGGTTGGATACATGAAAAATTTATCGACAGCTTGGCTCAAATGCTACAGCTCCTCCTCTTTCTCGGGCCTTCCAAAGGACTAGGTAACTCTCTTGGGTACATATCACATGTGTTCGAGTTATCTGAGTCTTTTCCTATCAGACTGTGAGCAACTTCTGTCTTATTTATCTTGATGTTCCCTACAGTATCTTGCAAGTGCCTGAAACACAAAGGGCTCCTGACAGGAGACAGACTCATGCACACATCCATGGAAGTACAAATGCAGGTCCTGCCCCTACCCAATCACAGACAGCAGCTTCTCCTACCTTGTTGCTGCAGTAGCAGGGAACACAGCACCTTTGAGGTATGCAAACAAACACGAGATGGCCCAGAGAGAAATTAAAATTAGAATAAACTTGAAATACAGTAGTAGTATGTGGGTGAGGGGATTGGAAGACAGGTCCTTATTCAAAATTCAGAGAAATGAAATCACTGAATGATGATTTATTTTAATTATGTTTTTTTCTGTACTACTTTTCCTTCCCTTGAACATGTTCTATTTTTACAATCAGAAAAAAAACTCCACAATAAATGTCATAAAAACAAACAGCAAATTTATGGTGATTTGAGACTACAAAATCACTCATCCATCACTGTGTTTCCTTAATACCACCTGGGACTTGATGCAGGGCTCTCCCAGGTGGGGCCCCTACATTTTGCAAGCAAGTGTTCTTTCCATCCCTCGGAAGTAGTGGGGGCTGGGAAAGTGACAGGAGCCAACTCGGTAGCTCCCTAATGCAAATACTGGCAAAGCTCCCAGAGGGGAGAACAGAGGGAGAGTGTGGGAGCAACCAAGCCAGTTCAGGGGTCAGGCCCTCCACAGATACTGGTTCTCTGTTGCACTTTGTAGCACTTTTGCATATTTCTTTCATAGTACTTTTCACATGCCATCACGATTATTATTCACCTGCCTATATTCTGTGACGCACAAAGAACTCCTAAGACCAGACAGAGGTAGTGTCTTCAATCATGTTCCCCTCTAGCCCAGTGCTTAGTACCAGTAGGTACTCAATATACATTTACGAGCTGTTAGAGACACACCTGTAATATACTAAACACAGTAACCGACCTAGGCCCCTGGGACATAGCAAGAATACATCAAGTACTTTCTCTAATGTCCTGAAGGTTCATTGGTTCTGAAGAGCCAAGCTGAAGCCAGTAATTTCCAGAAGATGAAAGAGGTTTCTTTTAACATCGGGAAATGCTGGTTTCCTCCAATAGGAGCAGACGCATTTTCATGAGCAATTCAGAATCTATCAGCATAGCAGGTGACTGCAGCTTCCAAAGGGGCAGCACCCAAATTTCCATAAGGCACTTCTGAAGAATTTCCAGGAGGTGGTGAGCCCAGCCTTGGGTCATGCTTAATAACCTGCTTCCCAGAACTGTAGATTTTCCACTTCAGTCTCCACTGAGGAATCACTACTGACTCCCGTGAAAATACTCAGCAGAGTTAACTGGGCCAGTTCAGCATCTTGTCTGTCACATACAGTGCTTGCCACCAGCTTCTTCCTTAAGTGTCTGGCCGGTCCTCTGGTCCCAGAGAACAGCACTTCTGTTTATGGCCTCTGTACTGACTGGCTAATTTGAAGTTCAGCATCAATTTACTGGGTGACAAAAAAACAATGCTGAGGCTTGGTCTGAAGAGCCAACATGGCAGCCCCAGGGGCCATCACAGGGCATTTCAAAATTGAGGAGTTCAGAGATGATGTCAGATTCCTCATGCAAATGTCACCCTGTGTCTGAGGGAGCTCTGGCTGTGTATACTGGCTGACATTCTTTCTGGAAATCATGAAACAGGTCATCCTGAGCATGTCCTTTTGTACCAATAGGTACTTTCTGAGCCTTGTCCCATTCTACCCTCATGACACCCCTTTGGGAAGGTATGACTGTGACCCCTACTTTACAGAAAGAAGTGGGCTCTGTGAGGCAGTCTGTCCAGGATCTCTTAGCAAAGAGGTGGTGAGGGCAGAGCTCTTACCTGCTATCCCTGACTTCTCACTGATCCCCAGGTTGTCTAAGTTGACAGAGGCTGTGAACACCAACCAGTCCCAGAGTTGCAAGTGTCCACAGGGGCCAAGGGCAGGCAGGAGACTACAGAGCATACTAGCATGGGCAGGGGATGGCGCAGATGGTAATGAACTAAAGAACACACACTCACCTGAAGGCATTCTAAGCAAAAACAAACACCACTCTGACTCTGGACTCTATCAACCCATTTAACACACGGAGAAACCAAGATCCAGGGAGGTGATGTGGAAAGGGCAGTGCAGCATGGGAGAAAGTTCAAGGGCTCAGGGGAGTGCTGGCTCTTATTAGGAACTCCAGCTCTGGCACCTGCTAGCTGTGAGACTTTGGGCAATTCACTTTACTTCTCTGTGCCTCTCTTATGTATACATGGAGATAATCTTTGCTTTACACCATTGCTGTGAAGATCAAAAGACATAGGCACATTCCAGATGTCCAGCCCTGTGCATGGCAAGTATTTCAGGTAAATACAAAAGCCAGGTCAGAGTTCTGGACACAGTGGTCTTCCGCAGTCTATCCCTATTCCCAAGATACCTTAAACTCACTGCTGGGGTGGCCCAGGTGGGGGTTATCAGGAAAAGCACACTGATAACAGCACTGACTTTGACACAAAGAAGAACCTGGATTAAGGGCTGTGAGGCATCCCACCACACTTCCACTCCCAGCCTCCTAGCAGAGTCCACAAAGTCCAGGTACCTTCCTTAGAACACTACTTCCTTGCCATCATCTTAGGAAAAAGCATGCCTTTCTTGGTCATCCAAAGACTCAAGATCTTGGGGGACAGAGGTGAGGTAGAGGCGGCCCTGGCCTTCCCACTGCCCATGCCCATAGGTTGTTCCAAGGCAGCAATGATCCACCTTCAATGGGCGCAGCTGCTTGGGAAGACCGCAGTTTTAAGATATACGAGGAGTGCTGAGAACCCTTCTGATAACCAGGATGTTAACTCAAACTGTCTCTAAAGACTGATCTTCCTGAGGAGCAGGGTCTCTGATGACCATAAAGATAAAAAACCCTTCAGCAGCTGGGTGTGGTGGCTCAAGCCTGTAATCCCACCTCTTTGGGAGGCTGAGGTGAGACGACTGCCTGAGCTCATGGGTTTGAGACTAGTCTGGACAACTTGGCGAGACCTCACCTCCACAATAAATAAAAAATTAACCAGGCGGGTAGCACACGCCTGTAGTTCTGGCTACTTGGAAGGTGGAGGCAGAAGGATCGCCTAGCCCAGCAGGTCGATGCTGAGGTGGCCATGAGGTATGGGTGACAGAGTGAGACTCCAACTCAAAAAAAAGCCCTTCAGCTGTCAAAACTCAAACTCTGACTCCTGTTGCCTTTTTTTGCATACTGGCTGTGGCCATTCTTCCCTTGCAGTAGCAGAGCATAGGTCTAGGTTTAAAGAAGAGAGGCAAATAAAGGGACTTTCCCCTCCTTTCTTCCCTCCCTCTTTCCAAACTAGGGCCTGGGGTGCTGGGCTCTAGGTTAAAATCGAGTAAATTGTGTCTCCTTTGTACCTGGTTTTCTACTAGGCAATGGGGCACAGTGATGGGCCTGACAGGCATGCAGAGGAAGTGCAGACAGTCTAATGGAGACACAGCAAATTGATGTTGCACACCTAATTAAACACTAGGAAGGAGCTGAGGATAACATGGGAACACATAGTGGATACTTGCCCTCAGTCTTGGGTCAGGGAATGGTAATACGAACGATCTGGTGTCACATAAATGGATGAGCATAACACAGGGCCTGGCATTTAAGAGGTACTCAGTAATGACAGTTATCTTTTTTCCTCTCCCCCTAAGTGCACATGCTTCTGTATGCATATACACACACACAAACACACACACCCCACTGCGACTTTTTCTTTCTCTTTTTTTCAAGAACACCAAACCTGAAACAAACAAAAAAACCCCTCAGAAGTAATGCAATGTCTGTTTTCTTTCTTTTTTTTTCTTTTTCCAGAGATGAGGTCTTGCCAAGTTGCCCAGTTTGGTTTCAAACCCTGGGCTCAGGCAATCCTCTCACCTCTGCCTCCCAAAGTGCTGGGATTACAGGTGTGAGCCACCGAGCCCAGTCATGTTTTACGTCCGTTTTATATCCTCTTTTAATTGTCCTACAGGTACCAGTTTTTAGTCACTCTAGAATACTGAAAACTGAGGGCAACCTAAAGCCATAAGGGCCTACCACAAATGGGAAAGAAATCGTTCATTTTAAGTTGAATTTGGAAATATAGAGACCATCTGGTTTTGTCCCTTCATTTAAGTACAAATGAGTAAACTGAGGCCCAGAGGGTGTGAAACACTTTCCCAAGGTGGCAGAGTTTCCTTGGGTAGACCTGCTAACACATATGGTGGCTTTCTGTTTACTTAAAGCTGAAATCTTTCCCCTTTAATTGTAACTTTTAAAGTATACTTAACCTGCTAAAAAGGGAGATGCACCCCAGCACCACTGAGAGCCACCTCAGGTCACCTGAAAACCCTCAGCTCAGGGTCCCACTAGTAAAGGGCTGAGAGAAGTAAGGGACCCTTTCCTCCTCTCTGCACAGAATGTCTTGCTTAAAATCCTGAAAATAGATACCAATAAATAAAATGCCTAAGGGCTTACATGTCCTGTTGATAGTCTAGGCATAAACAGCAAATTTTACAAAGGAAGCAATAAAAAGACGACAAACCCAGAGTTAAAGATTTCCAACCCCTTTCTACCTTTAAGTTTT